TCTGTTGAACAGCATCAGGAAATGCCAGGTTGCCTTAGCAAGAGGATCGTATAGCTTTAATAGTTTTGGGCTTTAGTTTGGGCTTTAGTTTTGTCAATTAAAAAAGTAAAGTCACACTGAGATATGTTAAAATAAAATTAATAACTGAAGGGGAAGTTGGGTCTACTGTGAAACAGGGTAATGGAGGATTTAGGTGAAAAAAAAAAAAAAAAAGAAAACAAAAAAAGATTTGCTATCTGTCCAGTTTCTGCTCTGAGTGTTCCCAGAACTCTCAGGATTCTAGAGGAAAGGTCACAAGATCAAGGTCAAACATCTGAAAAATGCAGATGCTGTGAGTTTGGAAGGGGAAACGTTCCCAGGCATATGCCAACTTGTGTTTTTGCTAAAGCAGAGGGCTAACTTAATAATTAAAACTGCAGTGTCTTCCAACACTTAGCTTAATTCAGCAGTTCCCTGCAGCATGTAAAATCTTTGGGGTACCCAAACTCAGGCATGCTGAATTTCTCAGCCAGTTAGTGCCAGGAATGTTCTGGATACAAGGACTCCAAATTTGGGCACTGACTCCCTGGGGAGGGGGCTGTTGCTCATAACCACTCTGGGTTTGGCTAAGGCTCCCCTCACCTGGGCAACAGTCCATAAAAATGAGTTTAAAATTCTAGGAACGTGCTAAATTTGGAAAGTGAATAATACATTTTTTGGGTCCTCATTCATCTGGCTACAAGATTTTCTGGGGAACAATTTTCCAAAGATGGCACAGTTCAAGGAGCAAGGTTGCTCAGATTCCAGATTGCTTTATTATCCTGAGTCATCTTCTCAAACCCCACCTAGAGTTTGCTGGATCAGCTTTGTGGCAAGACAGAGTTGTGCTTTACAGATACAAATGACAATCCTCCTTTATAAAATGTCCTTTAGGGGTCGCCTGGGTGGCTCAGGTGGTCAAGCCTCCAACTCTTGGTTTTTGCTCAGGTCATGATCTTGGGGTTGTGGGATCAAGCTCCCTGTCGGGCTCTGTGCTGAGTGTAGAGCCTGTTTAGGGTTCTCTCTCTCCCTCTCCCTCTGCCCCTTCCATTGCTCCTTCTCTTAAAAAAAAAAAAAAAAAAAAAAAAGATGTTCTTCAGGATCACCCTGGGCTCCCTGTCACTGAACTTAACCAAACAGTTTTGAATTGGTCTGTTTTTTTTCTTTTTCTTTTGAATTTCTTTCTTTCTTTTTTTTTTTTTTTAAGTAAATTCTATTCCCAACGTGAGGCTTGAATTCACAACCCCTAAGATCTAGAGGTGTAGGTTCTACTTCCAGAGTCAGCCAGGCATCCCTGGTCTGTTTTCTTTTTCCAGTATCCAGTTAGGAGGCAAGCTTCCTCCAGGAAAAAAAAGTATGTCACTTAGTTCCGTACCATCAGTGCCCAGAAGGATTGACAAAATAAGTCTTTAATCAACATTTGTTGAACGAAGGAAGGAATGAATGGAAACAATCTGCCAACTGTCATGGCCATCTTGGAATATTTAATTCTTTTTTTAGTTTTGCCCCAGAAAAACTCACTTCAGAACATTTGAAATTTCTGTTAGGTAGTTTAACAGTGTATCTGTATTAAACAAGTCTCACACCTGACTGGCTTCCTTTGTAAAGGGTTCAATCCTGCACTGTTCGCAAACCTGGGCCAACCACTGCAGCTTTGGTTGGAATCAAATTCCTACAACGTCTGAATTCTTGGAACTCTGAGGTCACTGTAGAAAAGGGGATCATGATAAAAGCCTACAGAGGAACCCACCTTGATGAGGTTTCTTTAGTCCCAAGTTCACACACACCCTGGCCAGGCTTGATCAGGCAGCTAATGATGTTTGTGACTCACTTGTGTTTATTGTCAAAGCCACTGAAAGGTAGGCAGACTCTACTTGAACTCTGAACAATTGAAACTGAAAGCTTTAATAGAGACTGAAATTTCCCTGATTGCTTTTTCCATCTGTGAGTGAAAATCTCCTTTTTTCTGGGATTGCTAAGTTTGCATAGTCAAAGCGGCTTCCTGGCTGTCAGGAGAAGGCCAATCTGTATGTGGTAGGAGGGGATGAGGGCAACAGAGGAAAGCAGAGCCAAGAGACTCAGGGGGAGAAAGCAAAGAGCATGGCTTTAAGCCTCTTCATCGAGCAGTGCTGAGAAATAGTTTCATCTCTAGACTTCCAAGTTTCATGGGCTAATTCACTTCTTTTTTGCTTAAGCTAGTTCAGCTGGGTTTCTGTCACTGGTAACCAAATCATCCTGATACAAATGATTACTTTAGGCCCACTCAGAATCTTAAATGATCATTAACAGGGCATTGGTTAAATACCTTTTGGAACACTGAAAGAATAAAACGTTATTGAAAAACAAACAAAAAATATTGTTGAACTACTGGAAGTGATAAATACAGGTTTATGTTTACAAACAGGAAGTGGATAGTATATCAGTGAGTGGAAAAACATAAAAAGGATTACTTTATTCCATAAATTAACTATAAATCTCAAGTGGAAAGAGAGAGAACTTAAGAGAGTAGACATTGCGTGTGTGTGCATGTATGTGTGTTTGTATTGGTCAAAGTCCAGGAGAAGATACACTCATATGTAAAAAGTTACCTCTTGGGAATATAAATTCAAATGACTAAACTTAATGTTGCCTTTTTATTATCTGTTTTTAAAATTGTTCTGCAAAAATGAATATTACTCGGGTATTTTTAAAAATATGGACATCCCATGGGGCAGGCGCTTGGGTGGCTCAGTTGGCTGAGCATCTCACTCTTGGTTTCAACTCAGGTCATGACATCATGGGTCATGAGAGCAAGCCCTGTGTTGGGCTCTGTGCTCAGCGGAGAGTCTGCTTGAAGATTCTCTCCTTCTGCCCCTCTCCCCTGCCTCACGCTCATGCGTGTGCATACTCGCTCTCTCTAAATAAATAAATAGGGGCACCTGGGTGGCTCAGTCGTTTGAGCATCTGCCTTTTGCTCAGGTCATGATCCCAGGATCTTGGGATTGAGTCCCGCATCGGGCTCCCTGCTCAGCGGGGAGTCTGCTTCTCCCTCTCCCTCTGCCCTCCCACCCCCCCATCATGTCTCACTCTCTCAAATAAATAAATAAATAAAATCTTTTAAAAAAATAATAAATGAATAAATCTTTTTAAAAAAGCAATGTCAAAAGACAGAAACATTCGTTTACAAAAAATATGGGCATCCCACCCTCGGTTTCAAAGTATATTTTCCTCTTCTCTCATTCAGTTCTGTTTTAGCGCAGTAAACTGTTAAAGATCTAAAATAAAGAAGAAATATAGAGCATGAACAACTTCAACAATAAAATCCTGTATTGTTTAAGCATCTACCATACTCCAGTGACTATATTTTCAGAGTTGGTGGGAAATAGACAGGAGATACACATGTCTGTTATCAAAGAATGCAAATATCCTGTTCCCAAGGAAATTAACACTATCAACAGGTGTATTTTGGGGGGAATTATGCAGGATGATACTTTGTGTTTTATATAGTGAAACATTTGTGAAATTTTAAGGGAGATTCCCATGATAAATTCTTGGGTTTCTCTTGGCTCCTCAAACCCAACATCAAATTTCAAATCTTGTAGTTATCAGTATTTATTTTTCACATAGAAGCAAACTACAACAGTAGCCAGGATTAGACCCTCTTCCTGAAGTTACTCTTCTGGGGTATTAAGAGAATAGTTCATGTGTGGTATCTTGAAAGATCCTAAGAATTACCATTTTATTTATTCTTGCCTATCCGGAAGTACTGAAGGCAGGAGTACTACAGTCAGAGAAAACCACCCATCTGCCTCCCCTGTGCGGAAAAGAACAAGTTATCAAGTAAATCATAAAAGTGCCTCCCACAGATGACTAGGAAAATGGCTCCCATTGCCATTTCCCTTCCTTCTCAACTAATGGCTTCAACCTTCTCTGTTGGTCTTCCGCTCTAAATCACCAGTATGGAGTCAGTTACCTTATTGAATACAGAGTATTTATCTTGATATCTATAATTTATGCCTCTTGATGGCGTTCTTCAGAAATTAAAAGATAACCGATTATATGTCCTCCTTTGCCCCAGAGCTGACCAACTCATTTCCCATCCTCACGTTATCAGAAAAATGAAGTAAAATGCCACTTTAGACTGCCATGATAAATTTCTTTAATCACAACTGGAAAACTTTGGGAAGAAACATATTTGGGAGAGAGAAGAGAGACGTACCTATTATATTTGTGTTTTTTTTTTTCTCTTCCCTTTAATGGAATAGTTATATGAAAATGAGACCTTAATTTGTGGGGCGCCTGATGGCTCAGTTGGTTAAGTGCCTGCCTTTGGCTCAGGTCCTGGGATCAAGCCCCGCAGTAGGACCCCTGCTCAGCGGGGAGCCTGCTTCTCCCTCTCCCTCATGCCGGCGCCCCCGGCTTGTGCTCTCACTCTCAAATAAATAAATAAAATCTTTTAAAAAAATACCTTAATTTGTGTAGAGTTTAGTGTGTTACAGTTTAGTTCTCATCTGAATCTACTGTGCTTCTTAAGATTTCATTGTTGAAATGCTTGTGCAATAATAGTATAAGGATGTTTGGCACATCACCTATGTACCACAGCCCACAGATCTCCAAACAATTTAGAAATATTTGCAAATTAATCCTCTTTACATCCCAGTACATTATTCATTTTGAGTCTGTGGATGGGGAACAGGAGATTGGATTCCAGAGTGGAACAGCATATTCCATCAGATTATAGGGAAGAGATAGGAGGGTGACTTAATTAGGGTGCACAAACTATGTGGCAGATTCAGGAGCCAAAAAGATGCTATTCCCCAAATATGCTAAATGGCAGATGGCCATATCCTACACTTTCACAGTGCAGTGGTTCTGAGTATGGACTTTGGATTATGCCTCTGGATTGGTATCCTAGCTTTGTCGCTTCCATGCTTGGGAGCAAGTTCTTTACTTGTTTCATGTTCCTCAGTTGTAAAATCAAGTTCATTCATGTAAAATCCAAGTCATACCTACCTCGCACAGTTGTTGTGATGATTAAATCACAGAATGATCCTGGCACATACGTTAAGTCTCAAAGTTAGATATTTTGTGGTATTATTTTCTCCATTGGAATATATTGCCAAAGTCATAGCAGAAGTGAAAGAAGCCAAAACACTCAGATCCCATTTTACCTCTGTTCAAGAAAAATCTACTTTCAAGAAAGCCATCTATAGAGCGCCTGGGTGGCTCAGTTGGTTAAGTGACTGCCTTCGGCTCAGGTCATGATCCTGGAGTCCCTGGATCGAGTCCCACATCGGGCTCCCTGCTCTGCAGGGAGTCTGTTTCTCCCTCTGACCCTCCCCCCTCTCATGTGCTCTCTCTCATTCTCTCTCTCTCAAATAAATAAAAAAAATCTTAAAAAAAGTGCGCCATCTATAAATACCTTAATTCTAGTCACCAAATCTAAATGGATTTTGTGTCAAAGGTCACATACTTATAGTTTAATGTTACACTTTTTAAAAAGTAATCTCTACACCCAACGTGGGGCTCGAACCCACAACCCTGAGATCAAGAGTCATATGTTCTATACTGACTAAGCCAGCCAGGCACCCCAGTTTAATGTCATACTTGATCCGTGCATTCACATACTCATTCAACAAGTGTGTATGGGGCACATTCCAAGCAAGGCATGGGTTTAGGTGCTGAGAACTCAAAGTTTGGATAGGATAGATATGATTTCTGCCCTGCTTCTAGACTGGGCCACAGGAACTGGACTGGGCATAACAGTGGAGATAGAAAGGGTCAGAGGAGGAGCAGAAAGTTTGGGAACATCATAAACTTAGTACCTGGAAATTGGTGGTTTTAGCTGCTTTGGAGGTCCGAGTTATCTCTTTTATGTTCCTGGGTTTATAATGTGTCTCTCTATACCTCTCTCCATTCTGCCCTCTGTACCCTCATGTATCCCTTCTTTTCTGGGGGTTATTCCACATCTGAAATCTGAAGGATGCTAAATTCCTGGTCCTTTCCCCTTCTCAGCAGCAGGGACACTTGGCATCGTGGAGAAGGAAGATGGTACTGCTGTCGTGGGAGAACCTGTGAAGCACTTGGCCTCATCCTTTAGATGGCTCCAGGTGGGAGGTAGAGAGTCACGGATTCCAGGTAGGTGGGAGATTCTTGGCAGGCAATCAGACTACTAAAATATGGAGCGGGAAAGAGGGGAAAAACACACAAAGTCAAGCTTACTAGTGATTTGTAGGGGCATTTGTGACTCCATTTTAAGATGGTATGCCAAAATGTGCATTTTTATGGGGATATTCATTCAGCGAATACTTGAGCATTGATTAGGTACAAAACACGGTTCTAGGAACTGAGGACATGTCTGTAAACCAAACTGCCGAAGTTCCCGGCCCTCCTGGAGCTTACACTCTAGAGGATGATGTGGACCATAGGTTTATTCTCCAAAAGGTTCTGTGTTTTAAAAATGCTCAGGAATCAAGATGCTAGACCTGTGGTCCTCAGTGTCGTGTACCAGCACCGCTGCAGGGGGGATCTGAAAAGTCCAGAGGAGAGCACCCATTCCTGAGATTCTGATTGGATGGATCTGTGATTGGGCTTGGGAATAAAGTTTTAAAGCTCCCACTCATTCTGATTCAGTTAAACTTGAGACAAACTGCTTCTTTGAAAAGAGAGTGGAGATGAAATTTCCCTCACTAAGAGCCAGGAAGAATTGGCCACTTCCTTCTTGCACAAATACTAGGCAATGGGATTTTCAGTTCTGAATATCCCAGGAGAGAAGCATCAACAGTCTTCCCTTATTTTTATTAGCTTAGAATAGCCCCCCACAAACAGTCCTTCCAAAATATTTAAGTGTGTGCCTATATATTTTAAGGTTTAGAAGAAAGAGGGGGAATTATCATCATCATCTAACATGAGACCCCAAATGATTTCCTAATTGTTTTTCCAAATACTATTACTATTACTACTACTACTACTACCACTAATGTAAGTTTTTATTATATGCCACTTTACAAGTATTCATTTTACAAGCTGGGCAGTTTACAAGTGTTCTATGTAATACTCCCAAGAACCTTGTAAGGTATTGTTATACTTACTTAGCAGGGGAGAGAGGAAGGCTCTGATGGGTCAAGGAGCTTGCTCAAGGTCACACAGAGATCGGACCAGCTGGAACCTACAGCATAGCTGGGCTCTCAACCCCCGACCCCAGCGGCATCCCATCCTTTCCGAGTCTCTCCCCCTCCCTCCCTTGTTTAGCACTTGGAATCTCTTCTGTGACCACTGATGAACATACATGTTATAAATCACTGAGGAAAAGAGATTGCTCAGGAGACTCTCGATTTGGGGGCTATTTGGGGAGGGCAGCCTTCCCGGCCCAGGGTATTCTTTCTGTCCGCAGCGCCCGAGCTCATTCCGAAACCTAGCAGGGAGAGACACTCGCTCGGCTCGCACCCCAGGGCGGCACCGATCCCCGGGCTGTGAATTCCGAGAGGTGGCTGCCTAGCCCCCGCCCCCGCGGGCGCCTGGGCGCGGGTGCAGATTGCAGAACAGTGGGTGATCCTAATCTCCTGGTCCCGGGGCGGGTCCGAAGATTCTCGGCTCCAGTCAGGAACTTGAGCCTGGGACATATGACTGGCTCCAGAAATCTTTGCTGGAAAGACAGTTAAAAGGCTAGGTCCCTTTTAGGTTGAAGACTTGAACCCCCTCTAGCCATTTGGCTTCTTTCCCTTGCCTATAGTTTTCCCTGTGTCCTAAAAAGTTGGCTCCGAAGCTTAAGGGTATCCCAAAGTTCACAGGGATCCCAGGTAGGGGGCCAGAGGACCCAGAGTCACAGAGACACTGGCAGTCCCAGCTCCAGGACCCGAACCGGTGGGCGCAGGCAGGCAAGGAGCAGGCGCGCGCCTCCAGGTCCGGTCCGGCTCCGGGGCACTAGGGGGAAGTACCGCGGGGGGTGGGGGCGGGGGTGGACAAGCCCGGCAGAGTGACCGACAGTGTGGCCAGCCACTGGCCGAGGGCGGTGAGGAGGCTTAGGCCGGCGTGAGTGCGTGCGTGTGTGCGTGAGTGTGAGCGCGAGGGTGAGTGTGTGAGCCTCCCCAACCCCCACCTGTTTGAAATGGTTTTAAAATGCCAAAGCCAGATTGACCCTATTTCAAAAGTTGCAAACAGTCGGAGTAAAACACGTGCACATGCCCCTACCCCCAAGTGATTAGCTGACTCCAGGGCAAGGAGAGAAAAGGAGGAATGAGAGGGGTGCGTGGAGGGGGCTAAATTGCGTTCTGGGGGATCGGTTTTAGGACCCAACGGGAAGCACACTGGAATCTCTCCCTCCGGGAAGGAGAGGTGGGGCGGGCCGGCCGGCAGGCGGCCTCGGGACGCATGCGCGCGCGTCTCCTCTCGCCGGCCGCTGCGCTCGGCGGCGCGGAATAGAATGAACTGTAACAAAACAAGTCGAGCCTTTGTATCTGCTTAAAGGGGCCGCAGGCACTTCCCTCCTGTCCCCCCCAACCCCCGCTCGGCAACCGCGTCTCCAGGGCTCCCAGCAACTGGCTGGAAGGGCTTCCCTCACCCTCAGGAACAGCCCGCCAGCGAGGAAAGGCGAGCCAGGCGGGAGGCAAAGAGGAGACACCGCAATTCTAAGAGGCAAGAAAGGAAGGAAGGGAGGGAAAAAAAAAAAAATAACCCAAGCGGCGCTGAGTGGACTCTGGTCCGGGAGAGAACGATCGGGCGCCGGAACGTGGACCGAGAAGCACCGGAATGCAAACAAAGCTCACGGGCGCCAGTGCAGGGCTCGCGGGGAAGCTCAGAAAGTTTGTTTTATGATGGCTTGAGTGCGCGAGTGTGTGCAGGGGAGCGAGGCTGCCAAGTTTCTCTCCCGTTGCGTTATTTTGGGGGAGACGTCTCTCCCATGAACGAGCGGGGGCTTGGGGGCTTGTGCTGTGGGGGCACCTGTCTCTCATTGTATTATTTTTTTGTGTTGGGGTGGGGAGGAGGGGTGTAACCCATCATGTCGAGAGTGATCCAGAAGAAGAACCACTGGACTAGCAAGGTTCACGAATGCACCGTAAAGCGGGGACCCCAGGGTGAGCTGGGGGTGACGGTGCTGGGGGGCGCGGAGAATGGGGAGTTTCCGTATGTCGGAGCGGTGGCCGCGGCCGAAGCAGCGGGGCTTCCCGGCGGCGGCGAGGGCCCTCGGCTGGGCGAAGGGGAGCTGCTTCTGGAGGTGCAGGGGATCCGGGTGTCCGGCTTGCCCCGCTATGATGTGCTGGGAGTCATCGACAGCTGCAAGGAGGCCGTCACCTTCAAAGCCGTCAGACAAGGTAAGACGGGACGCGCCTCCGGGAGGCGCCCGCAAAACGGGGAGAGGCCTGCGGAGTGCCCCCCGCCGCATCTCCGTTTCCCGCGTTCCTGCTCCGAGCGCAGCTTAGAGGGGAAGTCGGGGCCGTGCGCCCTGTCGTGGTGAAATAAGCAAAGTTGTTGAGAGATGGTGGGTTGTTTGCCCACCTGCGTTGGAAAGAGGGGGTTGGATTTGCGCCGGGAAGCGGGGAGACTTTTCCCAGGCCTGGTTTGCCAACCTGTTATCTCAGCCACCAAGTACAGCGCAGCTTCGCCTGTGCGGGGAGGAGAGTTGGGAAACTGAGGCAGGGGCAAAGTGGACGGTCTGCGGGCCCCTCTGGGGAGTGATGCAGCAGGCGCAGCCACTGCATTCCTTTCCCAGTTATCAGTTCACAGACCGGGAGAATGGGTATGAACGAGAAGAGGGGTCTGTGGTTACTGACCTCCTCCATCACGAAATCGGCTTCACCCGGCATCCCTCCAGGTGGGTTGGGGTACGACCGCCCTGCGGTTCCTGTGCCCGCCGCCTGAAGATCCTGCATTCACCCTGGAGCTGGATGACGCATCTGTCTCGGTCGTGTGGCCCAGCCCCAGGCGTGGGGGGAGGGAAAGAAGGAGTATTTCTGTCCGCGCGAATCAAGCCCAAATTTTTGCTGCCTCCACCACCATCACCATCGTTATCGTTGATAATGATAATGGTAGCTAATCTCTTATCTGTTAGCTTACTACGTGCCAGATTCTGTGTTGAATGCTTTCCTTGGCTGTTTTATTCTGACTCACAATTCTGAGAGCGAGTTGTTTTTATAAACCTCAGGTTACAGGTAAGGAAACCGGGATTGACATTGGATAAGTTACTTGCCCAAGGTCACACAGGTATCAGAAGTGAGGGTTTGAGTCCTTAATGCAAGCCAAGGAGGAAGAGGTGGGGGATGACCCTCCTGGACTGGAGGGCTTGATTTCTGGGGAGGGAATGAAGGCAGATTCCTCTCTTAGAAGCTTATAGAGAAGTACCCACGTCTTTGATGACTGCTGGTGGTGGGGAGTCCCTTGCATCTCAGTTTGGTTCAGGCAAGGGGCTGTCCCTAATACCAGTCCAACAGAGAAGGACTTGATTCCCTTAAAGGATCACTTGCACCACCAAGTACTGACACAGGTTCCTCTCCATGAAAGCACCAGAGGAGGTGGCAAAGTTGAGTGTGGTGAAAAGTTCCCATATGTGCTTGAGGGCCTGGAAGGGCAAGCAGCAGCTGCAGGAATGTGTTAAAGGAAAGGAGGGCTGGGCTGGGTTGAGCAGATCCTTGGAAAAAGGCCTGTTCCAGATGAAACAGGAGGGGGCAGAAGGAATTATCAGGCCTTTTGGTAGTTTGGGGAGCGATAGAGGGACAGTTATGAAAAGCTTCTGCCATTTATGTCCTCATCTTCCACTTGGACACCTCCTCCAAGAAGCCCTCCAGCATCTGAACAAACCCTTCTTCCTTTGGGCTCCCCTAAATGTGTACTTTGTAGCTTTTTACTTACTCTGAACTATGAGTTAGGCCCCTTTTCTCATTTCCATACAAGAGACTGTGCCTCATTCATTGTGCATTTCCCCAGGCTTTGCTTGAGGTCTAACACCTCCTTTCCCTGAGAGTGTGTCCTCATCTGTAACCTGGCTTTCATTTAGGTATTACATAAGCTAATAAGTGGAAAGTGTGCAGAACAGGGCCTGGCACATAGTAAGTTCCCAATGAAGATGAGCTATTACTATGTTCAATTTAATTTGACCAGTGATTTATTTCTAAGCCTAGCTCTTGGTGTTCAGAACCTGGATTATGAATTCAGTGCCAGTACCTGGATTGTTTGAACTTAATAGAACTGTAGAGGAAACACCGTGTCAAAGCATTTGATGAGAGCAGCCACAGGTCTCGTGCAGGGGTGTTTTGGAGAAAGGGTTGGAGGAAGGACCTATCCGTCTATTATCTGTCTAGTGGGTCCTGTATCGGGGCTTGTTTTTAACGTGCAATATGCTGCGTGTGGCTGAACCTCTTCTGTCCACCAGTAATCAAAGATCCAAGAGGCATTGTGCCTCATCATGGAACTTAGGAAGGGTGCGTCAGATAATCAAGTGTGTTTGGAATCAGACCCCTCTGGATGGAAAGGAAACGGTACTGTCTCCAAATGTTATTTCCCTTCACCCAGAACCATTCTGTGTGCTGCATAGGATTGTTCCTAGCAGGTGCATGCGTTTGTGTGTGTGTGTATGTGTGTGTGTGTGTGTGTAAATCTACTTGTTCTACTCAGGATAGCGTAAAGATGTGGCTGGAATCCACCACAGTGTGAAAGCTACTATTTTATGGGATAATTACATGGGCACAGTTCTTCTTCCAACATCTTCATTACAGAAACATGGCACTAGGAAGCATTTCACTAGTCTTCTGTCCCCTTCGTAGCAAGAATATGATTTAAATTATACGACAGGATTGCTCTTACCATGTCTTCATTACTGTGTTGTAATCATATTAGATAGACTCATCCTTGGTATGTGGTAAAGGAAAATGTTACTTTTGTGTTGTCTGCACCCTGAGCTAGCCACTCCCAGGGACAGAGGGAACTTTGGGTGCCGTCTGTATGGAAATGTCACGGTCTTCTTGTGGGAGAAAATTCTGCTGTTTCTATTTCATGGCAGCTCCCTGGAAAGATGCACAGACTAAAATAGTGTGTGGCAAATGGTATTATATGAAGTAGGACTAGATTGTGAAGGAACGAAGCTAAGTGGATCCACCAGGTTGCACTTGGTTCATTTTATTTTATTTATTTATTTTAAGATTTTATTTATTTATTTGACACAGAGAGAGAGAGAGAGGGAGAGCAGAAGCAGGGGGTAGCTACAGGCAGAGGGAGAAAGAGGCCCCCTGCTGAGCCAGAGCCCAACTCAGGGCTTGATCCCAGGACCCTGGGATCACTAGAACTTGGTTCATTTTAGATGGGGAAGACAGTCTTTTGTCACAAAGTGCCTAAAAATATTTACAGATATATATAAATGTTACATAAAATATGTTATTTTGAAAAAAATGTTATTTTGTGTATTTATGTATAAAATATAGCATATACTTTATACTTGGTAAGTATATATTTACTTGTGAAATGGACAGGTCTTTAGTATATAGTTTGATGAGTTTTGACAAATGTATATGTTCATTTTATCTTTTTTTTTTTAAAGATTTTTATTTATTTATTTGACAGAGAGAGACACAGCGAGAGAGGGAACACAAGCAGGGGGAGTGGGAGAGGGAGAAGCAGGCTTCCCGCGGAGCAGGGAGCCCGATGCGGGCCTCGATCCCAGGACTCTGGGATCATGACCAGAGCGGAAGGCATTCGCTTAACCGGTGCCCCATGTTCATTTTATCTTCACCCAAATCAGGATATAGAACATTTCCATTACTCTAGAAATTTCCCTTCTGTCCCTTTCCAGTCAGTTTCCCACACCTCCTCCAGAGGCAAAGGCTTAATTTTGTCTGTTATTGAAGTTCATATAAATGAAATAATGCCATATGTAGTCTTTTGTGTCTGACTTTTTTCAAAGTATTTTGGAGATTTCATATTGTGTCATTGTTCTTTTTTTAAGTATATATATATATATGTGTATATATATATATATGTATATATATATATTTATTTATTTATTTTTAAGTAATCTCTTTACCCATCATGAGGCTCAAACTTACAGCCCCACGATCAAGAGTCACGTGCTCTACTGGCTGAGCCAGCCAGGCACCCCTCTTTGTTCTTTTTTATTGTTGAGTAGTATTCCATTGTACGTTATGTGTTTATGTACGGGTATGTATATACACACACACAGTTTTTAAAATAGTTTTGCTTGTCATTGGACTTTGGACTATTTACCGTTTTTCGCTC